CACAGAACAGTTTCTACGCAACACTTCCGCTTCCTCTCTGGTTTATTCTTAGATTTTTAACTACTCTCCCTTCCTCCTCCTCGCTCATCCCCTTGGCTGGTTATGACCCACCCTTTTGGGGCTGCCTGGTTTGCTTTTTGCCGATTCAGTCCTACTAGAGAAAAACCTGAGTGCCCACGGTGCCGAGCACCACAAGGGGGTCCTGAGAACTGACGTCCAGGTTCTCAGAACCATCTGGGCATGTAGGGCAGGGAGCGGCTGGCCCTGAGGGCTTCCTAGACAGAAAGCAGACTGTCTCCAGCCTGCAGGCTGCCCAGCCTGGCTCACAAGCATAACTATCTGCACCGTCTCCTAAGGCTCTTTCTCCGGGAAAATGAAACCCAGAGCCCGAGTCACCGGCTCTCCTCTCCACGTCTAGGGTCGGGGCAGAGCCACGGAAGCCTGGTACACGGCCATGCGCAGGGTCACTGTTCTCACATGGGACACACGTACTGCTCCTATGGGGAAAGTCAACCAGATCCAGTGTGGGGCAGAAAAAGAAATCAGCAATAGCTATTGCTCTAGAATATAAAAAACCCAAGAAGAGAACGGAGCCTTTACTGTGGACAATTGCCACAATGGCTCCAATTGAGTCCTTTCCTATCCCCTTGCTGCCAGTGGTGCCCCACACTCAAGCAGGGCTGCTTGTGTCGTCCCCTCTGGCCAATGGGATGTGACGAAGGCCACCCGGGCGGAGTGACAAGTGCTCGCACATTGACGCGTGCATTCTTGCTGCGTCATTCTTTCCTCCTAGCTGCCTGCCAGGCGTTGAGTGGGGCCACCCTCTCCCAGCCATCCCCAACAGGGCCAGCCCGGCCCCACTCACAGACTCGGGAGGGTAATGGTTGTTTCAAGCCATTACATTTTAAGGTAGTCCGTTATGCTGGATCCTGATCCAAACAAGCCCATCGTAGAAAACCCATTGTTGAAAACAATTGGGAACATTTGAGTTGATGACATGGAGTTCTTGTCAACCCTACGAGGCTAACTATGGCACCGTGTCCTTGGTAGTCTGTGACATGCTTTAGGTTTGTTGTCAAACACTCGGGCAGAGTCGCCGAGTGGCAGGTAGATGCACCAGGGCTCCTTGCACAGCAGTTTCCTCTGCGTTCTGGAGCCACCGGACGTGCGTGTGCTCACCGTGCCCGTCAGCCAGGGTTAGACAGGGCTGTGCAGCCCCGGGGAAAAGTCACCAAGGAAAGTGGGGCTGTGGGAGGACTACAGCATGGCCGGAGCACACAGAGGATGGAAGAAGTACCTGGAATGAAGGCAGGGGCTGGGAGGCACAGATGGAAACCAGGAGGGCTGTGCTATGAAAGCCAGAGCTCCCCGAGGTACACAAATTTAATTTTACGGAGGTGAAGCAGGTTAAGAATAATCTCCTTGACCGGAGACGAATCTTACCGGATTTTACTTTTCCTTGGTTTTCTTCCAGAACCTATATAAATGGGTACATTTCACTTTATTCAAGATTTCCGAAGTTTATCATTGGCTTGAAAACGTGGGACTTCTGGTGAGTGGGCATTATCGTAGGGCACAAGAGAAAAGATGTATTGGAGTAAAGGCGTCAGTGTGGCCAGCCTGAGGCCGTCTGGTGTCCGCCTCCCGCTGCAGGCCCGGAGGGGCAGGCGGATTGGAGGCAGGGGCGCCCACTAGGGCTCAAGACACTAGAACAGCTTCTCGCTAGGCTATGCGACTCCCCCGCTGCGACATGAGATACATTTCACAGGTCACAGAAATTGAGAGCCACAGGCTCCTGATTACGATCCAAGGCCTCGCAGGAACCCAGAAACGTCCGTGGTTTCCGCAGTCCAGCAGTCTTGTGAGGGGAATTTCATCACGGCTGCTCTTTCCTGGTGCCCACACGGGTGAGGAGTTTCAAGTGCACATTTCAAAATGTCCAGTTCTCTAAGAGCAGGGTTGTGCCGTCCCACGCGAAGACACAGGTAGCTCTGCACACCTTGGTCCACTCAAGAGATCTGCAACTTCCCAACCAAGCCACCCTTGGGTCAGGCTGGCCCCTCCCGGCTGAGCAGCTTTCTCCACTTACCCCAGTGTCCATACAAAATCTCCCGTGGGCCACGATGGGAAAGATGCAGAGGGGCTTTGCAAGATTTATAGGACAAAGGCTACTGTATATGTGGTATATGCTTTAAGAATAAGGCACTGAGCTTGATTTATCACACTATTTTGGAAAATGACCTCGGGAATGTAAGCTCATTTAAAAAATGTTTAAAAATTCTCAACTTCTGAGATATGTTAACATCTGGGTCAAAGCCGACACCACTTACGGGGGAGCATACCAGCTCCCACCGCCCAGGATTCATCTGGGAAATGGAGAAACTCCTCTGCCCACCTCCCACCCTCACCAGCAGAGCCCGCAGCAGCAGAGAGGGTCCCAGATGAGCTGACAGATGGGGGGGGCGTCAGGACCATGAGTCAGATTGAAGTCCTATTCCACTGTCGTGTGAGCCCACACGCCAAACAGCTCAGCCTTGGCAGTCAGGTGACCTGAAGAGAACTTCACGGTGCAGATGGACCTCAAACCGAAACCTCTCTTTGTTCAAAGTAGAGAGCAGCCAAGCTTCCCTCCAAGTTCAAAGAAAACAGGGTAATTGGAGGTTACTGCAATGCTTACTTTACGCTTCTTTTAAGAATGACTTACTTTCTTGAAAGTGACTGTAAAGGGCTCCTTCAGCTTTTTGGAGACAGCTGGCTGCCTCTGAGACTTCAGATCACAGCAGAATCCTGCCCCCAGGTGCTGGGCTAAGCGGATGTTTGGCTGGCCCCTTGGTAAAACAGTCATCAAGGGAACGGGACAAGGGCGCCTGAGTGGCTCAATCATTAAGCGTCTGCTTTTGGCTCGAGTCATGATCCCAGGGTCCTGGGATCGAGCCCCGTATCGGGCTCCCTGCCTGGCGGAAGGCCTGCTTCTCCCTCACCCACTCCCCCTGCTTGTGTTCCTGCTCTCGTTGTCAAATAAATAAAATCTTAAAAAGGGGGGGGGGATGGGAACGGGACAGAGGTCTTGGGCGGTAGAGGTGGGGGAGCCTCTGGGAGATCAGGATTTGTCCTAGCACAATAATTCATGCCCCTTCAGCAAAGAGGCCGGAGACCAGCAGGAGACAGGTATGGCTCATCATCAATCCTACAGACAAAAGTCTCCAGTGGGGAACCGGGCGCTCACACTGGCTGCAGCGTGGAGCGGACAGTAGGAGTCTCGTGAGTTCACTGGGCGCTCACAGGACAGACGCGGAGATTCACGAGACCCTCTGCTGTGTTAAGACTTACACGCAGTGTGAAACCGGAATGGTTTACAGGCAGTGATAGCAGCGGCTTAAATGATGAATGATGAGGAGGGACCCCAGGAAAATAATAGCTGTTATTTACACATGAATGAATACCACGAAAACAGATGAAAGAAACAGCTTTTTCTCTGAAGGACAGAGGAGCATACAATAACCACCAAGAGACAGAATTTGAAAAGTATATAACAGATTTCTTTTTAATTTACAATCAAGTTCTGTTGGGCAACATAATTAAATAAATAAAAGATGCGCCCTGGCCTGTGAATTCCACCTCCCCTTGAGCTCTTGGAGCAGTAAGCTGGAAAGAGGGTGGGGGGGAGGGGAGGGCCGGGGAGACAGGGAGGATGGACACGGCGCCCCTCCTCACCCAGCTCCAGCACTCATACCCACAGCTGTCCAGAGAACAAGTGTGGAAGGAAAAAAATAAAGTGCAAATTAAAAAGTGATGAAAGTATTGGTGTTTCAGTCATTCAGGAACTAGAATGATACACAGGTAAAATGGTAAATGTTAAAAAAAAAAAAAAAAAAAGCCACAAGCCAGTTTTTCCCTGGCCTCAATCAGAACTCCTGAAACTTAAAAGATGACGTTCCCATGCTTCTTGGAATGGGCTTCTCGAACTAAAGCACCAAGGGGGTATTGCACGTAGGCTTGGCAAAGGGGCAGTGACCCGGAACCGCTGGCTCCAGGCTAATACATTCGAGGCTTCCAATCCCTTGTCACCAGCGACTGTCACCGAGGCACACGGGGGAAAAAGGTGGCGTGCGCCCAGCCCACTTTCTGGGAGTCTAGAGATGGCCGCAAGGAGCCACTCTACTCCTGCAGCACGCCCGGTTACCTGCAAGGTTTCTGCACTTCCTCTCCTATCTCCAAAAAGTATTTTGTAACCAAACTGAGATTTACTTCTCGACCAAGAAATAGGTGTGTAGCATCGTTAGGGAGAAAGGAAGCCTGAAGCTTTGAACAACAGCTGCTTTCTAAGAACGGTTTAGGAGATCTAAGGAAATTCCAACAGTAATCAGATGAGATCAGAGTAAGAGCCTCGTAATAATGACAAGAGACCAGCAGGGAGGACCACGGTCCTGTCACCTCCTCAGAAATCAGGGCAGTCCCTGTGGGCTGAGGGCAGGGGTAATCCTGTTTGGGTTTCTGTTAATCCAATGATTCAAGTGAGTTCACCAGAAAAACCATCCCAAGGTGACAGGACATGCATTGGGCCAGAACCGACTCTGGAAGGACGGGAGAAAGCACGGAGGGAGAACCGACAGCCGCACGCGCGCGTGGGGCGTTCTTGGCCCTGCCGGCCAGTGAGGAAGCCGGCAGGTGCCCGCGCTCCCCTCGCTGAGGTATGGAAGATCAGAGCCAGTAGTGTTTCCCACCCGAATCAAGGCAAGGCAAGAACCTGAACCTCTGCTAAGTGACTGCAGGGCCAGATTTTTTCAGTGTTATTCTTTCAGGCCATGAGAGACCTCAGCTAAAATCCTCAGAAATCCTGTTCAAAGGCAGGCCACGGCACCACGCGGCTCCAGCTCATCTCTGGAGGTCGAAGCTGCACCCAACACACCACGTGCAGGACAGAGCCGCAGGGGCTCGTGTGCTTTGCCGGCTTCAGCTCCTCCCCTCTCTCTCTCTCTCTCTCTCTCTCGGGGGTGCCATCAATACTCCGACCATAGCACAGCTTTACTTCCTTTGTCCACACTGACGACGTGGGAGCCAGAGGGGGACCACGCCACTGCATTGATGGACGAGCTTCAAAGGGAGAGGTCAAAACATCTGTGAGATCTGAGTGAACGGAATGCCAGGCCCCCTGACATTCAGGGAGCAAAGCTTTCTCCAACGCCCGGCTTGCTCACCAGGACTGCTGCCCCTCACAGGCAGGCCCTTGGGATTGAGCACGAGAACTCAAAGGAACCCTGCACTGTACTTCAGGAAGCAGTTTAGGAATGAAAGGAGTCAGGTCGTACCAAGTCCACCCTAAGGCAGTAGCTCCCACCCTCCGACAAGAGCCTCGGGGGACCACCTGAGGAGTGGACAAATGGCTACAGCCCCTGGGAGCAGGCAGAGGTGGTTCTGGAGGAAAGCCCCGTCTCTGTTCCAACTAGCAGTTGAGCTTGGGTGGAGAGAACAAAGCTAAGCAAAACAGGAGCCTGGGGGAGGACTGAAAAAGAGTCTATGAAAAATCTATGTTTACAACCAGACTCTCCGAAGGGAGAAGGAGAAGCGGAGAGGAAAGAGGGAGAGGCGGCGCTAGATAATCATAGACAGGACACTTCCCTAACCTTTCTCCAGCAGCCACTACTCAAAGAGCTCTAATTGGACAGCCTGTCGGCATCACTAAGCACGAAGAGCCCCGGCCTCTCCCCACTGACCTTGCTCACAGCGGAGCCAGCGAGCGCACAGCGTCTTCCCAGGGCTGATTCAGTTCATGCCCAAAGGGGCAGGATCCCCAGGATGAAGGCACAGAACCTCCACACAACCTCAGGGGGGCTATCATCAGGGTTCCCCTTACCCATGCTGCTTGGAAAGGACCTTCTCCACCTTCCCCGAGAGCACGCTCCAGACGTAGAGAGAGCCCTCAGCCGAGCCTGCTGCCACATAACCACCATCAGGGCTGTGGAACAAGACCACAAAAGTGTCAACTGCCCACCCCCAATTCAGCATCCCGTGGGAGAAGCGCTGGGCGGGCAGAGCGACAACTAGGAAAGGAGGCCGCCCTGCTGTAGCTTCCCTAGAAGCTCTCCAACAGCTCTTAGGAACATCCGCAAGGAAGGAGACAGTGAGCCCTGGTGCTGAGCTTCCAGGTCACTCCTGGACACTCCCTCAGGGGTGAGACAGTGGACATGTACCCCTCTGGGATGCACCAGGTTGGGGGTGGGCGGGGCAGGGTGGGTGAGGAGCATCGCTACTCACCTGAACACAACTCTGGTCCAATCAGAGCCGCACTTGAACCCAGGCGCGCTGAAACCAACAACAACACCATTACCCCGAGAGCTCACAACACTCGGGGTTTGAGAGAGCAGGGTCAGGGCCTCCGGTGTTCATGTGACCCCCAGAAAAACAGCAAGAGTCAAATAAAACCAAAACCCGCACGTCTTCAGTTACCTAAACGTCTGTCTGACGGCATTGATTCGCAGATCGATGATCTTTAGCAGGTCATCGCGAGAGCAGCTGAGGAGTTCTGTTCTCTCCGGGTTTAAGTCCAGGGCAGTAATCTTCCCCAGCAGCTCCATCTCCCGGACGATGCTCTCCGATCTACGAAAGTGATGGGAAGTCTGAGAAGACGGAACATGGAAGCGTCAGAACTTCCCCACGTTGTCCAGGACGCCTTGCTCCACGGAGATAGGGAAAGAAGGTAACTGGACTGGAATGCCTTACTCTTGAAGGACAGTGAACGTGTCCCAACCTTACAGAAATCACCTCAGGGACTGCTTTTATTATTTTTCTCTCACTACATTCTATAGTAATAGTTTAAGTACCAGGACTCGGAGTTGGGGAAGAATTAATTTCCTCGCCCGCTTAGGGAATGCTACAGTAACTGCCAATCAGACCTCCGGCTCAGCACGAGCTAAGCAGGTCTACTACCCATTCAGTACTCTTCCGGTGATGATGTGTCCACGTGGCCAAGGGCCCATAAACTTGCTCCGGTGGGTCTGGGATGCTGTACTGTACACGGACAAACGTGGGGCCTCTCGCAGGCTCCCTGCCTTACGAAGTTCGGCTCCAGGGCCCCCCCAAGTGCAGCTGGGTGATTCCAGGTGTGGAGATGGACTCCAGGGCAGAGTCCCCGCCCTAGGCAAGTCAGTACCCGGTCTGGCTTCAGTTCTGCCCTTCCTCAGCCACCATGTGCAAATGCTCCCTCAAATCCGTTCCCCTCCACGTCTCCTTTACTGCTGGATGAGGTCTCCCGCTCCCAGGACACCGTCTGACACCACCAGCACCTCTATGCACTCATGCTGAGCGGTCCTTTGTTAAACACCCAACGGCTTATGGGAGTAAGTCACTTACAAAAGGTCATCTGATCCCAACCCACCACTGGCTAGTCCTGTCTGCTCAGGGCCCAACCTACCAGGCTGTGCTGCCTGGAAAGTCTGTCAGGCCCACTCACTTCCTAAGACTCATCCTGACAGGCATTCTCTCATGTCCTTGGACCAAGGTGCCTGCCTCTACTTCAGAACACCTTGCAGACCTGCGTATCAGTCTTCCCTGCGACACTGCACACTACCTGGCTGTCCCTTGGTTTACCTAGCAGCTGGCAAAGTGCCTCGAAAGCACAGAGACCGTGCTCGTAAGTGATTGCTGAACGAGACAGTCTACTTCAGGGTAAAGAATGTCAAAGTACTGAGATAAATGTGGACTGGGGCTCATTTCTGCCACTTCCGGGATCTTAAAAAGCACACTCTACATACAAAACCTCATCAGAGCTCTGCCACGGGAAGACCCTCTCATCTGCCTCCCCCACCAAGCTCTGGGGTAGTATACCGGATGTCCCAGAAACGAATCTTCTTGTCGAAATGTCCACTCATGACACACTGCTCCGTGCAAACGATATCGTTGCAGCTGGATCCTGCAAACACGGTCTTTATGCCTGAAAGAAGAGCGAACATTAGTAACCGAGCAGAGGCCGCTCCGGGGCTGTGCAGGGAGCATCGATTCCCCCTGGCCCTGAGTAACCAGCACTCCTTATTTAAACACAATCTCAAACACGGAAAGCCGGCACAACCTCAACGCCACTCTGAGTATGAAACTGGACTTGCAATTCAAACTGTATCACGCTAGGCATAGGCTTTCATGTGGCAACAAACACCTTGCGGTTAACGTCTAATCATACACACAGACAGAGAGACTGGATTTCCTCACAGACTTTGCTGCGTAGATCCCAGAGCTTGAGGGTCCGGTCATGACTTCCGGAAACAATCCGCGCATTGTCCAGCAGGAACTTGGCAGACAGCACTTTGCCGCTGTGTCCCGTGAGTGTGTGCTAGGGGAGAGAACACAGCCAGGGTAAGCCGTGGGGGCGCACCATGCTGGAAGAGCTAGCTTCTCCAAACACCTGGAGATATGGTCAGGAACATTCAGACAAAAGGATATGTGGCTCAACCAGACGTCCAGAAAGCCTAACTTTCGGTGTGGCCCAGAGGTGAGGAATCAAGAAGCAGCACATAAATCCCCCAGCACAAATAACAACAAAAAATCCAACACCACTAGTGCCAAGTTCAAGTGCCTCTCTCCTCAAAAAAAGGGATGGGCAGTTGGAGGACCTTTTTGAAATAAACTCTGTTACAGATACCCCCAGTCTGTAATGTTCTTGCAACCTTCTTTGTAAGTCTGGATTGTATCAAATTACAGAATTTTTAAAAGCCTGGATTTTTACCCAGTGCCTCTGAAAATCGAGGCCCTATTTACAGTCAGAACAGACAGGTTCCCTGCAGGCATAATTTACAAAAGGGAACATCAGGACTTTTTAAATAAACAATTAAAACCCCTGGGGGTTTTTTCAATCAGAGGTCTCAGCTTGAAAAGTCAGACCATAACCACAAAGAGCTGCGCGCTCCCAAGAGTCAAACCCCCGGGCGGGTGACTGTGGGGTGCCAGCCAAGGAGCACAGCACTGGGGCACCGCCCAGCACCGCCCCCCTTCTGCCCGACTCGGCAGTACTGGAGCCCAAGGGGATGCCAAGGGTGCGGGGAGGGGACCCTGGGAGTCAGACCTTTCACTACTCCTCATGGAATGCTTTTCAGCACGGGTCAACATGCTTCTCGGTGCAAAATCTCAAAGGCTCAGAAGGCCTTCACTGAGGTTTTCTTTTTAACCAGCCAACCAACCAATAAATAAATAAGCCTTTAAAAGCTTTGATATAGTCACTACAACTGCCAGCTTACTTACAGGGTTTCCACACTGACTCCCAAAGAGGAGATCTCAGTTTTGTGTGAGATGTTCAGCGTGAGAATTTTTGAAACCAATCTTCCCTCCCTGCTCAGTGGAGCCATGCCACCTCAGCACAGGGACAGAAATCCCGGGCCCACCCGTCCCCCCACTTCCAAAGGGAGAAGCTGGTACACATTCGAAGACTCGTTTCTCCCACGTTTAAACCTCCCCGAAACTGGAAAGACATCATATACTTGCTGCCAGCCAAGGGGCAGCTGTGCTGTGGCTGTGTAAAAACCTCCCACGGATCCTTCTCGTAAAATCCCGAAAACTCCAGCAACAAGGCTTACATTCAACACAACACGGGAGTAAGGATTCCACTCAGCACAAGCCAGCCAAACTGTACGGATCACTTGGGAAGGGTACTCCTCATGCTATGTAAATTAAGTTCGGAGAAAAGAACTACTTCATCAAAGAAATCAAAGTTTTGGGTACATTCACTGCTTTCTTTCTTCCTACAGAAGTAAAATCCCAGTTGGCAAACTCTGGAGGAGGAGACACTGCTCACAAACAGGCTTGTGAGCACACTCGTTTTTGTGAGTTAATGCTTGCACTGCCCTCATGTGAAAATGCTCCTAAAAATTTATCCACTGCTCGAAGTAGTTTTCCACGTGACAGGTGAAGATGCTCCGGCTCTGGGGTCACAATGCTCCGGTTTTGAACAGCCAGGGCTCGAACATCTGTGAAAGACGAACCGCTTCCTCCCGCTCTTTCAGTAAAAGGACCGAACAAGGTGACCCGTGCACAAGGCCCACTGCTGGGAGCATTAACGCTCTTCCCTCCTGCGCCCGCTAAGAGCCTTCATGGTTCCTCTGATAGTTCAATGATCTTCAAGTGGCAATTACAGTTTAATGGAAACTTCTGTGCCCAGCAGACACCCAGGTCACTTTACATCTCAGGAGCACAAACAATGCTACAGAACAGCTACAGGCATGTAGCTTTCTCCAGGCCCGTTTCCCCGAGTAAAACTGCTGGACTGATGAAAGAGAGGAAAGGGATACCGTTATTTCCTGGCTCTTCATATGTGTGTCAGTTTGCTTTTTAAAAAGTCTGGCCTTCTGCAAATCTCGTCCTTGGAGGAAATCCAGCTGATGGGGTCCAGCTCCACACCCTCAAAGGTATGGAATGCAGCCTCCTCCAGGCTTCTTTCCGTAATTTACAAAGTCCTTATCTTAAGCGCATCAGATTTATGTGAAATTTTTATCCAGTGTTTCTGATATTTTTCAATATTCAATTTATTTTTCAGGTTTTATCTTCCTTTTTCAAACAGCGGCTCCTAAGAGATGGGGCAGCGGGTTCAGATGTCAGAGCAGCTTGCACCTCTCTTCTCCAGGGCCCTGCCAGGCACCCCCGCCCCCCCGTGCCTCAGGGCAGACCCGAGGGCCACCCACCGTGCAGGCAACCACCATGAGCACCAACCAGTCGACTGACCCCAGAAAAATGCAGAACTCAGTGAGGAGGTTTCTGAAGCACAAAACGCCATCTGAAAGCCAGTCCCGTCACTGCGGTTACTCTTCCATGTCAACATTAGAGAAGTGAACAAGGTGGGCTGTTCAACCCCATTCCTCAAGTCACATTTTAGAGAGCAGCTAGGCAATTTTCCAAGGACCTTCCGGATATTTAAGGGAGTCTAAAACACCTGCTATTCAAGGGAGTCCTCTGTAAATACCAGGCTGTTTCTAGGACACCTTTACTACAAGGATTTTAAAGCCAGCACTCAGTCAGCTGCTGCTTGCATTCTGGCCTCTCCCAACACCATTCCCTTATCATAAAAACTAAGGGCTTGGATCCTGAATTTCAGAACATGGACCTCCGTGTTTTCCAACATCCTCTGTTAACTAGGGTTTAAGTAGAAGCCAGAGCCTCCTACAAGAGGGAGCCTATTTATTCCTGAACCCCATAAGAGTTCCATGTCTCTGGGCACAGAGAAGATGTTTAAAAAGGCCTCCTGATCTTCATCACACATACACGGAGAGCGAGCCAGATGCCCTCAGAGCCAGCTACCGTCCTGGCACCAGCCTCCAACCTGTCAGCAACCCCAGCTGAAGCCTGGTGCTCCAGCACCCTGAGCACCCTCTCCCGTGAAATTCGGCCCACCTTTGCAAACTAGCTCACTTGAAAAAAGCACACTTTATGGCTTTGATTATGATCTCTGTCTTCCAGGTCCGGCTCCCACCCCCAGGTCCCCTTATTTCCAAGGGCTGATGCCCACCTGAATACAACTCTTTTACCAATGAAAAATATCATCCTGCACAACTGGCTGACCCCTCAACCGCTTGCTTTTTTCCTCCAAGGGCCTAGAATGAAAGGAAGACTGTACGTCCTCCTTCCCGGCGAGACAGTCCTGCTGTACCTCCGTCTCTAGACGTGCCAGAATAGTCCAGGTCAAGCAGAGACGGGCACGGGGCCCAGTTCCCATTCCCATCTGGTAGCTGTGGTTCCTGAGGCAATTTTGTGGGCTTCTCTGAGCCTTCGTTTCCCCATAACCTACCTCACCTTGTTCCCCTGGGGATGAAAAAGCAGTAGGGTACATACAGGACCTCAGTACTGGGTCTGACACCTAGGAGCCACTCAAGAAAAGTCCCTTTTCCTTCAGGCAAACTGACGACTGCAGACGTATCCAACCCTGTCACAGGTGACCAGGAAGTGATCAGCGGTTAAGAGAGCACAGCCCAGCCCACGGCGGATTATGACGCTGCCGCGAGAACGGGCTGAAGGCTAGGCCCTGTTGAGGGTGCAGAAGTAGAGGGCTGCAACCGAAAACTTGTTCAAGTGTGGGAACAGACGTGACTATGCTTCCGCAGAGGGTCCAGCCCTGCCCACGGGGGCCCAGCGGCCCACCGCCCTGTTCCTCCATTCAGACAAGAACACAAAGCGGGCTCTTCAGCTTTCACAAGGGAACGTAACCCTTGTCAGCTTCACGCCCCACACTTTGCATGTGTAGCCCCGGATCTTCTTCCAACTCAGAATGAAGGATCACCACCACCTGTGAGGCAATGACTGGCATCTAATACCGGTGTTGGTCCCTACAGCTCCTTCAAGAAAATGGAGAGCCTGTGTGATCAGTTAACTGTGCATTTCTAAAGATTCTTCTAGCCGCATCCCGGCATCATCAAATCAGACCACTGGCAACGGACCACTGTGCTGCAGCTCCCCGCCTCTCTGCAGATTTACCTTGAAGAGGCTCTCAACGCCATGCCTCGTGCGGGTTGACGTACAAAAGCTCGTGTCAAACTTTTCTCTTCATAGAGAGCTCAGCCTCCCTCTTATCTTTCAACAGCCTCTGGTTAATGAGCTCATGTGAAAACCGTTTCAGGCTTAAGGAGAAAAACGTGTCTCCAAATTAAGCTATTTGTTTTTCATTAGAACCAAAGTGCTATAACCACCAAGTTTTGGTCTTTGTTGTGGAGGCCAAGCGACTTCTCAACAGAGAAGTTGGGTTCGCATGCGAATTCCTTCACGTGACCCCGACCTTCCCCTTTTCCCTCCAACCTGCTCCCACCTTGTGTCAAGAGTTGTAGTTCTCGCCATCCTGAGTGCATCCTCATGTACTCCTATGTCCTCCTTGCAGCTTTACTCTGTGAGCTCGTTATTAGTCTTGGAGACCTAACTCGGAGATATAACAACTTCTACGACAATGCTGGGATTGCTAAAGTTCTGCTAAAACGGACACCTGCCCCAAGTATCTAGTTCTTAGGAAGAGGAACACCCTGAGTCTTTCATGTGAAATGTGATGGCTTCCTCGTGCAAGTATTTTGAAACTAAATCTTAGACAAAGGAGGAATGTAACACGGAAACACAAATTCTCCCAAGGGGGAAAGGGAAGGGCAGGGGGAATCAAGTATGATTTTCAGGAAAACAGGATTCTCCTAATTCATCAACCTGCCATTTCCTACATTTTGTGCCTTGAGAACCTCACGAAGTTTGGAGATTATGCTAACTTCCTTAACTGGGTCTTACCCGTAACCGATAATCATCCACAGTCCAGATTCGACTTGCAAAATCATTTGAAGCTGCTAAGAGGTAAGAGCCCTATGGAAATAAGGGAGTGGGGGGTGGAGGAGAGACAAATTTTAGACGAAATAGAGAATTTCAGTCCACACAATACAAATTCCCTAAGAACTAAGTCCAGAAAGGTTTACTGGATGCTCAAAAGCTGCATACCTGATGTGAACACCAACTGTTACCCCAGTATCCTGTCAACCCACCAACTGCAGTAAATCCACACTTTGCTCTCGAACTTGCTCAATCCTGCCATCCTGCTGGAATGTTGCAGACTCTCCAGCTCAAACTGGAACTTGTCCTCTTGAGTTCATAAGCCACCCCCTCCACCCCCTTCAGCAATGGCAAATACCAATTCTCTACACACGGTCCAAGCTGCAGAGCCCAGAGGCACCGGCCTCTCTCCTCCCGCAACCTCCCAAAACTACCCTCCCTGAGATCTGCCCATCTCTCAGGCACCTAGATAGACCCCTTCCCCTCCCCCTGCCCTGCTGGGGCTTCAGCCGGGGCCTTTAAGCAAGTCTGCAGAGGCACTGACTCGCCGGGACACCGCAGACCTGCCTCCCCCACCCAGACTTCAATGCGGTCACAGCCAGCACAGAATTTATAATCTACCTGCATCCTGACCTAACACTGATTGGACTTAAGATCGAGAACAGCAGGGAAATCGTCTGAGTAATTTTTAAATTGCAAGAACTGGATGTCTTAAATGGTTTCTAAGCACCTCTAAGTGCTCCCATTTCCACAGGCACGGGATACTCACGGCGCTGTCAAATTCGATGCTCGTAATTCCCGCATTACTGCCAGACAGGGAGCCCTTGAACTCACATTTATCTGGAGAGAAAAAGAGAGGAGAAAAAGGAAAGTAAGGCCAACACCGGCGTTAGGACGGGGCACCCGAAACGCGGCAGCAGCCAATCAGAGGCCACAAAGAGCAGCCGTCCGGCACTGAGGTAGCATCGCAGAGCAGTGGGGCGAACGCAGCAGTGAGACCAGAGTAGGCAGCTGGTCAGCGGGAGGGGCCGCGCGTGTGTACGCCGACGCAGGGCCCAGCACTGCGCAGGCGCTCCGCTGTTCTTTCCAAGAACTTTAGAATCACCAATTCGCTTTACAAAGAATTACGTGCAGGAATTTTAAAGACATGTCAATCCGTCTAGAGACTGAGTTTTAGTTCTGCAATTTCTCAGTAATTCAGATAAATACACCTTTGGGTTTGATTACTATTTGTATCGATTTAACAATTACTTCTGTAGAACCTGACTACTAAAATTTTTCAGAATCTATGTGTTAATTCTCATTAGGGTCTAAAAAGTTTTTTTTTTAGTTATGTGTAACTGGCTAGTCCTTAGAATGCCAGTAAAGCTAGTCTGGAGTTTCTGGAATTTGTTTTTTTTTTAAAGATTTTATTTATTTATTTGAGACAGAGAGAATGAGAGAGAGAGCACATGAGAGGGGGGAGGGTCAGAGGGAGCAGCAGACTCTCCGTCGAGCAGGGAGCCCGATGCGGGACTCGATCCAGGGACTCCAGGATCATGACCTGAGCCGAAGGCAGTCGCTTAACCAACTGAGCCACCCAGGCACCCGAGTTTCTGGAATTTGTACACTTCTCCTGTCTCCGAGAACCGAAGATTCTGGTAATCCAACTGGCTGCCAGCACTCCCCTCCCCACAACCTCTCTCACCAACAGACCCAGCACAGGCTCCTGGGTCCTGCCCTCAGATATCTCTGGCCACCCATGAGGGAACTTTAATGATGTAGCACAAACTGACAAGAGTACAAGTCTCAAAATGATGTGATTAAGTCCCTTTCTAAAGGGTACCTTAAGGGGCGCCTGGGTGGCTCAGTTGGTTAAGCAACTGCCTCCGGCTCAGGTCATGATCCTGGAGTCCTGGGATCGAGTCCCGCATCAGGCTCCCTGCTCGACAGGGAGTCTGCTTCTCCCTCTGACCCTCCCCCCTCTCATGTGCTCTCTCTCATTCTCTCTAATAAATAAGTAAAATCTTTTAAAAAAAAAATAAAGGGTACCTTAAGGATGACAAGATCAGAAAACAATTAGGGAACCATCCAAATCAAATTCATAAAAGGGGATGGGGCGCCTGGGTGTCTGTCGTCTGAGTGTCCGACTCTTGATTTCGCTCAGGTCATGATCTCAGGGTCTTGAGATCAAGCCCCACGTCAGGCTCCATGCTCAGAGCAGAGTCTGCTGGAGATTCTCTCTCCCTCTCTCTTTAAAATAAATAAATCTTTAAAAAAAAATTTTTTTTTTATTTGACAGAGAGAGAGAGCACAAGCAGGGGGAGTGGCAGACAGAAGGAGAGGGAGAAGCAGGCTTCCTGCTGAGCAGGGAGCCCGATATGGGGCTCGATCCCAGGACCCCGGGATCATGACCTGAGCCGAAGGCAGACACTTGACTGAGCCACTCAGGCACCCCCCTCTCTCTATAAAATAAATAAATCTCAAGGAGAGCACAAAATTGGAAACATTTCAGAGAACAGCCTTTTCTCTTACTCAGTACTTCTAACTGGTAATAATTATGAATACTCGTTTGGAGCTGTCAAATACATTTAGGGTCAGGATTATTAAACTGGTTGATGAAGCCCACCCTTTGAATTTATTTGCAAAATACCTGTATAGCACATTTAATGCCTTTTCTTGGATCCTAGCCTTCATTAGATTTTCAAAAGTCAGAAAAGGCCAATATCCACTAATTAATTAATTTATTTAGATTAGATCTTTACAAAAATATTGCTGTAAATTCTAAGAAATACTGCTTTGGCTTATGCCCAAGATATCGGTCTATTTCTCTGGCAGTTAACACATTGCCAAAATGTAAAAATGACTAACAAATACTATTCTACATGAGAGGCAAATTTAAAACCATAACAAAAAAAAAAAAAAAAAAAAAATCCTTTCCAAAGCTCTTTATCTAGAGGACACCAAGGGAAGGTATGTCAATAACCCAATGGAGCTTCTGCAAAATTTTGATAGAGCAAGGAAAGATGCTCCTACTGGGCAGAAAATGCCATTCTTCTGATACTTTAAAAGGGTAAAAAACAGGACCCCCAAACTATTTCATAAAAGGCCTTATGTACTTAGTCTCTTCCAAGATTCAGTAAATATTAGCCAACGAGAAAAAACCTGCTGACTGAATAAGTGATTTGCAGAAGAAATGCCCTATAATTAGGCCATAACTGATATTTGGTCCTCAAAACTATATAAAGTGCTGCCAAACATTCTATGTTATTTCTGTAGACCCAGTAGAAAGTTCTCATTTTACTGACACAAATTATGCCAATATTAATTTCCATTTACTTCCTTTTCACAGCAGCAAAAACGTAACACTGTTACTAAAGGCTGGTTCTAATTTTCTTACAAGCGCTTTTACTACCAGGAAGTAAAAAGTATTTCTAGTTATTTTTATTTAATCACAAGACATAATCAAAACAGATGATCTGCTTAGATTTAAAAACCCAAATCTCATAAATTATTATGATATGGCTTTATTATTGTATTACCGTGATTTTCACAATTATCATTCATAAGGTGTTTCTGGGTAAAACGGCACAAATTTTCATGGGCTTCAACTACCTGTATCTGCCAGGGATTTAACTATGGAGTCACTTTCCAGGAAAAAAAAAAAAGGCCCGAGGCAGACAAATTTGATGCTTTATTGGTAAGCTATTATAACCAAAGGGATCAAGAGATTGCTCTTGCTCTAAACACACCAAAAGTAGTCACCCACATGCTTCTTCAGCTGCTCTATAGCTCAGGGGAGACCACAGTGGGAAGGGCTTTGCAGTCAGAAGACCCAGTTCGGGTCCTGGTTCTGCCACCCCCGTGCCACCCTAATCAGTTACCAGCCATGTAAATCAACTACGCAAATCAAGTAGTGTCTCTGAGTTTTCATCTTGTCAAGTAGGGGCGATACCCACCTTTCAAACTGCACGGGGCTGTGGGGAGGATCAGGGGGAAATAACACAGACAAAGGCCTGCTAGATCTACTTCTTGTTGGACAGTGGGCATGTAAGTGCTACGACTATGGAAAGTTGACAAATTGGTTATTAAAATCTTCAGCCTTATTCCTTGACCTTGCTTTATTAAAAAAAAAAACATGAGATTTAACTAAATCTCAAAATGCTGAAACTGAGCTATCCCCAGCTTCAGAATTCTAAGAGATGCATTAAGTCCCATTTCCTGTTTTAATGCCTCCCATCTGAGTACTCTGAAGCCACTTCTGAAACAAGGTCTTAATCTTCTGGCCCTTGATGATAAGCGGCTTGTTGAATACATTTTTCCTGAGAGATACACCCCTCTTTTTATTCTCAAGCTTAGATATGACCTCAATCTTTTTCCCTAGGCCAAAGCCACTGGTGTTATTAAATGCACACACCTCAGCTCAATGTATAGTTTAATTCTAAAGTCTATGACTCTAACACTTTTTATTTTGCTTCTAAAACCAGTATTATCTTGGAAGATGTTCTAATTATATCTGAGAAAACATAAACACTAACGAATCCATAACTTAACAGCATTTTCTAGTCACTACTTTAAAACTCCGAGCAAATATCCACTCAGCTATAGCATATGAGATGGTGATAATGCTTTGGTCAGATAATTCCTTACACAAAATACAGGATATTTGAAGAAGGTGAATGATTTAAACATTGCCTGAAACCACGGTCAACCAGATGTCACCAATGCAGGCTCTTTGCACTCTGGGGTCTCACCTCCAAACACTTCCCAAAGCTTAACTCTCCGATCCATGCCTCCTGTGGCCAGCAGCCGGGAGCCCGGACTGAACTGCACAGCATTGACTTCCCCATCGTGAGCATCCTGCAAGACAAGCACCCTGCTTCAACCCCAATCACGGTCATTCCCGAGAGGAAGCCCAGTACAAATGAACACTCTGGATGCCTAACCAAAGGTGTTAGACACTCATCCAGAAATGAAGGAGATCCGCTCATAAACTAACTTGGATTCCTAGCCCAGGGTCTCCTAAGATTGTTACCATTTTATTCTTATAGTTACAGTTCCACTTATTTAAATACATTGCAACCTTCTTAAAGAGTATTCAAAATCCGTGTAGACTGCCTAAAGTTTCTCTTTGCATTAATTTTATTTCTTAAGAAAAATGAAATTTCAGTCTATATTCTACTATGATCTTAATAGCTTAAAAGTAAGCCTCTGATTAACTGCCTCTCTTTTGGTCCAGATTATGTTAATGCTACATGCTAAACTAGGTAGTCAAAGTACAGCATGGCTTCTCATGATAAAGTCTTTATGGGCTTTCCTAATGTGAGTATACTCAAATGGAGTCCTAATAACGAGCAGATACAGTCCTGCTACTACACATCAGTGTTACAGTGGGATTCTATTCAGTTCTGGAAACAACACGGCACTAGTGTGTACTAGTAGGGTCACTTTTGCCAAGTTTCTTAACTTTCCGAAGTCTCAGCTCACTTGCTCATCTATAGAAAAGGACTTCTGCCAAGTTGTGTGACCTAGGACTGTGCCTGATCATGAATAGGCCTTTAATAAAATAGGTGTCACTTGGGAGAATGTGAATTCTTCACAGGAAAGAATGCCTGGGTGGCTGTCGGTTAAGTGTCTGCCTTCGGCTTAGGTCATGATCCCAGGGTCCTGGGATTTAGGCCCTCGTTGCGCTCCCTGCTCAGCGGGAGTCTGTTTCTCCCTCTCCCTCCCACTTCCCCTGCTTGTGCTGTCAAATAAATAAAATCTTAAAAAAAAAAAAATTCTTCACAGGGAAATTTTTTTTCTCTGAAAGTTTAATTATTTTGGAGAGCGAGTGCACACAGGGAAGGTACAGAGGGGAAGGGAGAGAATCCCAAGCAGACTCCCCACTAAGTGCGGAACTTGACACAAAGCTTGATCTCATGACCCCGAGACGATGACCTGAAATCAAGAGTCAGACTCTTAATCGACTGAGCCACCCAGGTACCCCTTCGCAAGGAAATTTTTGAGACTGGCATCCAAACTAGAAAAGATGAAAAGATGGCAAGATGGCATCTTTTTTTGTGTTCAAGATGGGAAGGGAAATGGAGTTAAAAAGCATTCCTTTCCAGAATGGGAGAAAATACCAGAAGATGTCACTAAAACCTCTCTTAAAGGACTATGGGGGCGCCTGGGTGGCTCAGTCGGTTGGGCGTCCAACTGAGCCCCACATCGGGCTCTGTGTTCAGCAGGGAGTCTGCTTGGAACTCACTCTCTCCCTCCGCCCCTCCCACGCTCTCTAAAATAAATAAATCTTTAAAAAAAAAAAAAAAGAAAGAAAAAAGACTATGGATGCTGAAATCTTTATGAACTACAATGTCTGGGATTTGCTTTAAATTGCTCTGGCAAAAGTGTGTGGGGCAGAGAGAATAAAACTGGCAGACGTAGCTAACTGGGGCTGCCTGACAGGATGATGGATGATGGGACCTG